TTCTCTGTTTGTCCACCCTTGAAATATAAAAACCCTCCTTGACCTTTCGTTTGCTCCAATTTCTTTCATAATCCAGAATTTTGACGTCGTCCCACATGATGTCATGCCCCGTTTCCACCACATGTCTTGAGATACCCGAATGATCCCCGTACCCCTGAGCTATAGCCCACCTATTCTCTGCCTCCCTCGTCTTCAGCTTCCTCCCTGTCTCCCCCACATAAAGCTTCCCACACTGACACTGATACTGGTAAACTACCCCCGACTTATCCTTAAACCCTAGCCTGTCTTTTGGTTTAACTAGCCTTGCTTTCAGATTTGCAGCCGGTCTCGTACTAACTTTTGCATATGGGCGTAGGATGCGTGTCACCTGCTCACTAACCGCCTGGCAGACTTGTGCCTCGACCAAAAATCAAGATCTGCAAGATTCCACGCAATTTCAAAATTTTAGGATCTAAGATCCCCAGGATCTCACGCAAAATCATAATTTCAAGATCCAAGATCCCCAAGATCCCACGCAAAATCAAAATTGTAGGATCCAAGATCCCCAGGATACCACGCCAAATTAAGATTGCTGGATCCAAGATCTCCAAGATCCAACGCAAAATCAAAATTGTAGGATCCAAGATCCCCAGTATCCCATGCCAATCAAGATAGCTGGATCCAAGATCTCCAAGATCCCACGCAATATCAGAATATTTTAGGGTCCAAGATTCCCAAGATCCCACGCAACTAGAGGTGGCAAAACTGGAAAATTTTGGGAACCGGACCCGGACCCGGTCTGACTGGCACATTTCTGGAACCGATCAGAACCGGTCTAAGTCAGCGTTGGAACCAGATGGACCCGTTCCCGAAATTCATTATGAAAATGTGTACAGTTGTAGGTATAACAAGAATAAAATATTTTTTCCAATTGGGCAAACTTGTGTTGCAAATAGTGATGTCAATTACGGAAAATCGGAATACCGATACCAAACCAAATACCAACCCAAACCGTGGAGAAATACCGAAACCAAACCAACTTGGGAACATAAGGAAAATACCAACTTTTACCGATTTCTTAGCCTCTTAAACATTAGCGAGGGTTCATGATACCAACAAAATACCAAACACATCAGGATTGAAATACCAAATACCGAGTTAGTATCGGTTTGGTATCGGTATACCAAAAACTTGGTATCCGATTGACATCTCTAGTTTCAAAGTAAAAAACTCATGCCATGGTCATTTCACTTAGCTTCACAGTTTGTATTTTAGAACCTGATTCAGGTCATATTTAAGAATATAAGAAGTAAGAAGACCAATGAATTTCATGCTTACCTAAGCCCCTTTTACTGCAGCTGCTAAAAATGATGTGAACTGGGGATCCATGGAGCAGTGCCCTCACCAGTCAGAACCTAACATCAACATTGAACAAGATACGCATCTCACATACTGATACATACCTTTTCTAATATTCTTGGTAAAAGATATTCGTTTTTAGAATCAAATACATTATTCCTTACAAATATTATCAACTATTCAACGTCCCAAACCAGAAAATATTCAAAATCAAAATGGAAACAATCAAAACAAAAAAAAATACTTTTTTTGTTTATTTATCTGATTTTTTTAGTACCTTCCTATTGGATTCAATTAGTGTGTGACATCACATGACCCAGTAGTAATAATAGTGGTAGTGGTAGGGGTAGTGGTAGGGGTAGTGGTAGGGGAAGCTGTAGGGGTAGTGGTAGGGGTAGTAGTAGTGGTAGGGGTAGTAGTAGGGGTAGGGGTAGGGGTAGTGTTAGGGGTAGTGGTAGGGGTAGTGGTAGGAGTAGTGGTAGGGGTAGGGTAGGGTAGGGGTAGTGGTAGGGTAGGGGTAGGGGTAGGGGTAGTGGTAGGGGTAGTGGTAGGAGAAGTGGTATGGATAGAAGTAGTAGAAGCGTGGTACAGGCCGATCCAACGTGACGTGGTGACCTTATACGACCTGGCCACACCGAAGGTCACCTGGCCTGACCCAGTGTAACCACTACCAGGGATGACCAGCTTGACCTGACTTGACCCCGTATGACCCAAATTTCATCGGCAACTGAGCCATCAGAATAGTTATTATGTTCAAAATTATTCCTCTGCACGTTTCCGGCCATATCTCTGCTTCCAGACGACAGATCAATTTAAATCACACACCATTGGAAAGTAAATTTTTTGCAGTAAATTTTGAAAGTAAATTTAAATTTTCTGGCTACGCCGCGGAGCAAGTGGTGCAGCCGCTTGTTGGTTTCTATTTATGAATGTTACGAATGTGAGTGAGTGAATGAACAGGGGCTTTCAGTAGAGGGCAATCACCACTGTTTGCAGTGTTGACTACTTTGCTTCTTATTCATCCATACTAACCCTGGACTCTCTTTTTCTGCCTTTTTATGTTGCATTTCATTTCCTAGCAGGGAGTGCCGCGACTTGAAATTTTAACCCTCGCCCATGTGGGGGGGGGTGGTGCAACCCCCCCCCCTGAGGTTTTTCTTAGCTACACGCCGAACCGTTTCAGATAGCCTGCTCAAATTTTCAGTACCCTATGGGGCATCCTTTGCGCAACTTTTGGTATTTTTTGTCAAGGTCATGTCAGGTCACGGAGTTATGATGTCATAAAGGTAACAACCTCCGGCCAGATTTACGCTAAATTGGAGATTGCTTCACATTGGTATAAATGCCGACTGGCCTGACACACTGATGGATTGTTTTAGAATCACAACTGGCTGATTTGACATTGGCACAATGTCCGTTGACATTTTGAAGGTTACTAAAGGTCAAGGTAAGGTCAGTGACCTCGGTTGACCTGTAATGACTTCTTGCACTTGTATGCCTTTTTCGGGTATTTTGATGCCCTGAATTCGAATTTGCTATCCATTTCAGGCATCGTCGGTTGTTTCTTGTAGTTCATTTTGGGTCAGGGTCAGGTCAGTGACGTCACACACCTGACGTGACCCAATGCACAAATGACCTTGCAGACTTCCGATGCTCCCAACGCATCATTTTTAGAGTTATGACATCGAAATGCACACCAAACGATAGAGGATTGATCAAGGAACACGATAGTGAAGGTTTTAAGTCGATATCTCTCACCGTTTTGCCGCAATCGGCGCGGATATCTGAAAAAGTTAGATTTTTCCGAAAATTTGACCTTTGACCGGTCATAAGTAGGTCAAATATTGACCTAGGACCAAAAAATATACCACCAATCGCGAGATCTCGTTGAGAGCAATCCGTTGGTCTTTTCCGCTAAGCTCTACGACGCTCCGTTTTCAAACGCCAGGGGGGGGGGGTCGCACCAACCCTGCATGGGCGAAAGTGGCAAAACACCGTTTACGGGCGATGGTTAAGTTATTCTGGTGTTAACGTAAGGTTCTGTGTGTCGCTGGGATACAGGGAGGGGGCGCTCCTGGTCACCTGATAATGGGTGGCTGCTTAGAAAAAATAAATATCAAACATATCAGTTAACCCGCGCCCCGTAGGGCTATCGGCGGACCCTACCACCCGTGGGGGGGGGGGGGGCGTTTCGGCCCCCCTAAGATCTCGGAAATTTACCGGCCGATTTTCAAAATTCAAAAGGCGTTCGATAGCCCCACCGGGGAACTACATTGTTACCAAATTGCAATGACCTAGGTCAAACCGATGACGTCACAGGTCAGGTCAAAGGTCAGATTTTCACCGTTCACAGGTATTTCAAAAAATGTGCTGTGAAATCGAGTAAATTGGTAAGTTATTGAAACCATCGATGGTACATTGTTCGTCAAACACATACTTTGCTATCTGAGGTCACTAATACCAGGTCAGGTCACAGCGAGGTCAGGTCACTGGGGTCACAATTTGAAAGTGTCGTGTGATGCATATTTTATGGTCCATTTTACATGACAAATGCGGTTATGTGGGTCAGGCAGCATTTGGGGCCAGCTTAGGTCACGTTTTGGTGAAGGTCAGGTCAAGGTCAGGTCAAAAAAGGTCAAATTTCAAAGTTGATAGTTTTGCATCAAATGAGTATTGATTTGATGCAGCTCGTCACGGGGAGTCTAATGGTGTTCTTTGTTTTGCCCTACGTGGTCTAGAATTGCCAAAAATTGAGTTTGAAAATTTGATGTCATCATTTTTGAACAGCTTTTTCGCTATAACTTGGCCAAAAAACGAGATATCGATCAGAAATTTGGTATGTAGATAGAAGATGGTAGGTCCTATCACATATATTCCGTTTTTTTGAAACTCCGAAAAACTTTTTGGATTATTTGGCTAATATATAAAAAAATGTTTTTTTTAGTCAAAACTCAAAAATTTTAAAAATCCGAGATAGCAATTTTGTAGCCCTGTCGATTCTACACCTTTTATGTCTTGATCATTTTTTTTGGATCTTCAAAGCTGTAGGCCTGACAGCTCTTCGCGCGAATGTCTTTTTTCGGTCGAAAATGGCAGAACATGACGTTATTCTGACGTCATTTGTGGCCAACATATCATAGCCTCTGGAAAAGTTTTGGTCACAATGTGTAAAATTAATGCCCGGAGGGGTCCTTAAATTTTGGTGGCGATATCTCCAGCCGATTAGGAGATATTGACGGAAAAGGACAAGGGGCCGTTTCGCCCCCCCCCCCCCCTACGGGGCCTGGCCGTGGGTTAAGTTTTACTTTTATCATTTGCAACATATAACATGAGCATAAGGTTATTCACTCTATGTACATTATTATTCATGCTCAGAAATACCATAGCTTACTTCCAAGATATTTTATTGAGATTGTTTGTTTAGCCAAAAGTAAGTAAAAAATAAGTAGGAAAGTCCTAACTATCCTATAGGAACTATAGGAACTATAGGAACTATAGGAAAGTCCGCTGATGTGGGACGGGAATGCCGTGTGATCTGTGGCAGGCGGCCGACTCGGAGGCCTCTTCCGGAGACGAGACCCAGGACTCTGGTGTACCCAGCCATCACGCGGTGCGTCGTCCCGACGGTGGAGGAACAAAACCCGGCGCCTCCGAAAGCACGGATGAAGATCGGACACATAAACATCCGTTCACTGGTGCCCAAATTGGACGAAACCCGGCTGATCATCCGTCAGAATGAGCTCGACGCCCTTTGCATCTCAGAGACGTGGCTCACTGGCGATATCAGCAGTGACCTGCTACTCTTCGCCGGCTACCGGATCTTCAGGGAGGACCGCAAAGTACCCAAGAGAGGACAGAGAACCACGCGCGGTGGAGGTCTGGCCATTATTCTTCGGGAGGAAATCACAGCGACTAAACTCAAGATACCGCCACCGACGGATAGTCGTCTAGAGATTCTGTGGGTGACTGTGGGGGCGCCTGGTGGGCGTTCCGCCGTCCTCGGCGCCACCTATAGGCCACCTGGTGAACCTGTAACTCCAGACCTTGACGCTCTTCGCCAGCAGCTACTGGAAGTGTCCCGTCATGAGAAGCCGGTCTTCCTCTTAGGCGACCTAAACCTGGACCTGACTCGGCCGGACGGGCTGCAAGTGGCACGCTACATCACCATGCTTCAAGAATTAAATTTTCACCAGCTCATACGGAGTCCGACACGACCCGGGGCGACTCCATCCCTCCTCGATCACATACTCACAAATCAAACCAGCGTCAGTCACGAGGTAGCGGCTGTCATCAAGACGCATGTCAGTGACCACGACTTGATCACCATCGAAGCGCCACTGCCGAGACCGAAGCGGAAGCCACGCGAGACAACCACACGATCCACGCGTGATGTGAACTACGACCAACTCTGTCTGGACCTCCTGCATTCGGACTGGAGCGCTCTGTATCGAGACGAAGCGACATCCATCGATGCTCTCTATGACGCGTTCCTGAATACCTGGAACTCTGTAATCGACCAGCACTGCCCGATGAAGCGTGTCCGACTGCGACATCCCGACCGGCCGTGGCTGACGCTCAACGACGACCTGAGAGAGCTCCAAAGTCAACGGAATACTGCGAGGCACCATAGAGACACCCTGGGTACCGTTGCCAGCGAGCAGCAATACCTGACACTGAAGAAGGAATTCAGGCGCCGGATAGCAGCTGCCCGAGCGGAGTACTTCTCAGCCCCCTCCAGCATGACCGAGATGTGGGTGGAGCTCCGGAAGCATGCTCTGGGGCCAGCTCGAGCTGTGAGCCCTGACGACGTACTGGACGCGGAAACTGCCAACCGCTTCAACTCCTACTTTGCCGAGGTGGGCAGCCGGATAGCCACCGAACTGGCCACCCCACGGGACCGGCCGGCGCCTCCCCCTAGACCGTCTACTGTGTGCAGCTCTACGTTTGCTGTCCAGCCAGTCACATTGCCGGAGCTCAGCGGCGCCCTGAGGAGGATGAGCAGCTCAAGGGCGACCGGCAGTGACGGCGTGTCGCTGCAGCTGGTCAGGCGCTGTTTCTCGGTGGTTGGTCCCCACCTGCTTCGGATCATCAACGCTTCCATCGTCACCGGGAGAGTACTAGCGCTGTGGAAGCATGCAAAAATCGTGCCCATCTACAAATCAGGTGATAGGCTGCAGCCAGCTAGTTTCCGACCTATCAGTGTCCTCAGCGTGCCAGCGAAAATCACTGAAAAACTTGTTAGTGCTCAGCTTACCAATTATCTCGCTGAAAATCACCTCATGTCCCCAGCCCAGTATGCGTACCGCGCCCACCACTCCACCGAAAGCGCGCTAGTTGACCTGGTTTGCACTGTGGCTACCCACAGGGACGCGGGAAGGGTGACATGTGTTACTTCTTGTGATCCGTCAAAGGCGTTCGATTGTGTGCACCGCAATGGACTGTTTAAAAAGCTCAGCTGGTATGGAATTTCGTCCCACTGGTTCAGCGATTATTTTGAAGGCCGAACACAGTCTGTAGCAGGAAGCACAACGAGAGACGTGCCATTTGGCGTAATTCAAGGTAGTATTTTGGGCAAGGCCATATATAGGAGGTAGCGACACTGAGCGATTTGTTTACAGCCAGTTTCGGACTCAGTGACGCAAATGTGTCGTCACGGGACAAAACAATATGGCCACCTCTAATGAGAACCAAGTGCAAGAAGTTCCCGGATGTAGCCAGCACTGACGTCACCGGGTCCGAAACCAATGACATCAGTACTGGACCTATGGCGAAGCAAAGTAGTGACACCCCCCTGATTTTGGGTCCGACCATGTTCAACATTTTCACGAACGACATGTCATGCCATTTATCTAGCCACGCATCCGTTGTATCGTACGCCGACGACTCGCAACTTATCCACAGCGCACCACCTACACCCGCTGGTCTAGTCGAGCTGTGTCACGCCGTGGAGGCGGACCTGACTGCGCTGTCAGGATGGTTCAGCTGCAACGGGCTAAAAGTGAACCCCACGAAGACCGAGTTAATCCTCTTCGGAACCTCATCTTCGCTCAAAAAAGCTGAAAATTTTACCATTAGTTTCGACGGAGTTGTTCTCAAACCGGCACACAGCATCAAAGTTCTTGGCGTGGTCCTAGATTCCGAGCTTAGTATGCAACAGCAAGTCAACCATGTTACCAGGCGCTGCTACAGCAACCTGATTACTTTGAGTAAACTCAGAGGCACTCTTCCGCGCAAAACACTAATACGGCCCATCCAAGCTCTTGTTTTTCCCCACATTACATACTGCCTACCAGCCTGGGCCCCACCTACACAGCAACAGCGGCATCGCATAGACAAAATCATCAGCTTTGCAACCCGTATCGTTACCAACAAACGCCGTCACGAGCACATCACGGCAGCACGGAAGGAGCTGGGGTGGATGTCTTTTTGCGCACTAATCGATTACCGTGACTCGGCGCTTGTGCATTCCGTCGTGTACTGTGACAACGGACCTGAGCGCCTCAAATCTCGCGTGTTGTACCGGGCTGATGTATCAGAGCGACAAACGCGAGCCACTTCCTCCGGTCAACTGGAAACATGTCGCTGCAGACTTGAGTCGACTAGAATGACTGTGCCCGTGCGCGCCGTACGAATGTGGAACACTCTAGATCGTAGCATTCGGGAGCAAAAAGTGTGTCAAGTGTGTCACCATGCAATAGCCATCTACGCGCGCGTCCTCTGTTTACCGTTTTTTTTGCCGCTTTTTGCTTTATTTTTATGTTTGCTGCGCTTTTGCATTTTAAACACATCGCTGGTTTTATTCATTTTTTAGTCCATCACATGTTTTACGCATGAAGGTACATCATGGCAGTCTTTGTATGACACTGTGGCCTAACAGCCAATGTTTTATTGGATGCCACAAAGAACCGCAATAAATAAATAAATAAATAAATAAATAAATAAATAAATAAACCTTCAATTTACATTTCTCTTAGCGCAATGACAAGAAAATATTTATTTATTTGTGACTGACGTCAATGAATTGAAAACCCCCATAAACCTTAGGAATTAGGATTGAAAGAGGCAATTGTGGCGCAAGTGTAGTCGTGGGCTTGGTGAGTGGGGTGCGGCACGAAAAATCAAAATAAATAAATAAATGTTGGTTCTTTGATGCTCAATAGTGTTTTCATGCCTCTCATATCAAATCAATTTTTGACACTGTCTTGATCAGTAGGTAGCTTATCACAACCCAGATACCAGTAGGTAGCATATCACGACCCAGAAAATATGTGAGTTAATAAAAGAATCGCATTGAAAAAGGTACCACTACGAGTATCGAAATATTTGCTATCAATTTTTCAATATATATCACTCAAGAAACTCCGAAAATATTATTTCATATTAATAAAAGAAGCAAGAGATTCAACTTTCAAGACAATCACTGAATTGCAGTTCAATAAGTACAGTTCCAGAATCCGCAACAGTCATAATGTAAAAAAGTTACCAGGCCTGTTGTTTTCATAATCATGATACACAATTTGGCTCTATGTAGATATCTACAATGCTGATATCCTGGCTCATTGTTTTCTGTTCATTGCCAAGTTTCTGTTGACCTTGAGATCAGTGGCGCAGCCAGGGGGGGTCAGAGGGTCAGCTGACCCCCCGAAATTTCTGTCAGGGGCCCGCTCGAGAGAGAGAGTGAGAGAGAGAGAGAGAGAGAGAGAGAGAGAGAGAGAGAGAGAGAGAGAGAGAGAGAGAGAGAGAGAGAGAGAGAGGAGAGAGGTCCTAATCTAATCGGACGAGCCCGCTTCGAGAAATGCCCACTGCGACACCTCGGGTGAGGGGTCGGCCTGGGGCCCCAGGTGGACAGGGCCCGGGCCCCCAGGAGAACGGGCCCGGCCCCCTGGGTGGATGGGACCCGGGCCCCCTGTAGATGGGTCCGGGCCCCCGGGTGGATAGGGCCCGGGCCCCCCGGCGGATGGGGCCCCGGTGGATGGATCCGAGCCACCGGGAGAACGGGCCCCGGGTGGACGGGGCCCGGACCCCCGGGTCCCGCGAGAACGGGTCCAGGCCCCTCGGGTGGATGGGGCCCGAGGCTCCGGGAGAGCGGGCCCGGGCCCCCCGGGTGGACGGGGCCGGACCCTGTAGTGTACGCGATCATAACGGTTTTGAATTAGTAGCACCGATCCTCCAGCCTTGTAACAATCGCGTCACCATTGTAACCCAGCGTGTCGACGCCATGTTTTTAGTAAACAATAGACGGTCCTGCGGCTCTTCATCCGTTGTGTAGTTCTGAGATGCTCGCAATCGAACGAACACTATAAATGGCGACGACGGATGGGATTCCTCGTTGAGTGATAACCACTGTGGTCGAACAGTGTCGGTAGTCTTGCCGAGAGGAATTTCGAGTGCGAGTTTATCAATTCAGAATGAGCCTGGACGGCGTGCAGCCTCCCGCGCCGTTTTTGCCCAGCCCTGGAAAACCCGCTGTTGACTGGCAGACATGGGAGGGCAAATTTGTTAATTACCTCCTCGCCATCTCTGGCGACACCTTCAACCCTGCCCGGCAGCGCGCTGTTCTCCTTCATTGTGTTGGCGACGAAGCGTACCGGCTGTACGAGACCTTGCCCCCCGGCGTGAAGGCTGACGGCGAAACGGACTTTGACTTGGCTCTGCGCCAACTGCGTGAGTTTTATACTCCGCGCACCAACGTCATCGTGGAGAGGTTCAACTTTCGTCAGCGTGGACAACATGACAGTGAGACAACTGCAGACTTTGTGTCAGCTCTACGCGGTCTGGCTCGAACGTGTGAGTTCGGGGCCATCACAGACGAACTGATCCGTGACGTAGTGGTTGAAAAGACTGTGCACCCCAGACTCCGAGAACGGTTCCTCCAGGATAAGGACCTCACCCTGGAGAAGGTGCTGGTGATGGCAGAGGCCTTCGAGCGCTCCCTGCGTGAAGCTGCTGCCATGGCCCCTCCTGCGCTGCAGCTCGGAGCTGTGGCCAAGGTCAGCACAGGCCCACGACGCCGCACCACCCAGCCATCGTTACCCAGCCCAGCCACCCAGTGTACCAACTGTGGTCGGAAGGACCACCAGCCAAGGGATAAGTCGTGTCCCGCCAAGAAGGTGGTCTGTCATCAGTGTGGCAGGAAGGGACACTTCTCAGCCTGGTGTCGCAGCAAGGAGAAGCCGCCTGCCTGCAAGGAGCTTCAGGTACTCTCCTGCTCCACCTCAACTAGTTCCAAGATGACCTGTACTGCATCAGTGACTGCTAGCACAGGCGTGCAGCGAGATGTGCTGCTCCAAGTCGACACGGGTGCCTCCTGCTCCATCCTCAGCATGGACCTGGCACGTAAGCTGTTCAAAGGGGTGCCCTACGAGTCGTCCACTGCCAGCCTGTACGGGTTTGCCAAAACCCCACTGTCAGTGAAGGGCACACTGCCCACAGTCGTCCGCTTCAATGGTCAAGAAGCTACAACAGACTTCTACCTGGTGGAAACTCCGAATCAAGAGGCTATCATGGGGTTGAACCTGATCAACGCCCTCGGCATCACTCTCCACCCGGCTTCCAACAGCATCTACAGTGTGGAGGCTGAAGCCCAGCCACTGCCTGCCATCGAGCACTACGAGCACCGCATCGTGCTGAAGCCTGGTGCTACTCCAACAGCCTACAGGCTCCGCCGACTTCCCCTCTCTGTCCGTGAGGAAGTGTCGGCCGAGCTGCAACGTCTGCTGCACGACGGCATCATCGAGAAGATCGACGCATCTGAGTGGGTCAGCCCCCTCGCCGTGTCCAGGCGCAAGGATGGCCGGATACGGGTCTGTGTCGACCTCCGTGGACCCAACTCGCAGATCGTTGCAGAGGTCCACCCCCTGCCTACAATTGACGAGCTGGAATCGAAACTGCACGGCAGCGTCTACAGCAGGATCGACCTCAAGACAGCGTACCATCAACTTCGCCTGCACAAGGACTCAAGAGACATCACGGCCTTCCTGACGCCTGATGGTCTCATGCGGTACACACGAGTGCCGTTCGGTCTCGTCTCAAGTGGAAGCGCCTTCCAGAAGCTCCTCAGCAGCCTGCTGAAGGGTGTCCCAGGTTGTGGGCACTACCTGGATGATATCCTGGTGTCTGGGAAAGATCACCAAGAGCACGACACCCGCCTCAAGGAGGTCATGGACCGCCTGGCCCGAGCCAACGTGACCATCAACAAGGACAAGTCCGTCTTCAGGCAGACCAGCATCGAGTTCTGCGGTCACAAGCTCTCTGCAGCTGGAGTGGTCCCACTCCAGTCAACCGTCCGCGCTGTGATCGAGGCGCCTCCGCCCTCCGACGCTCGGGAGCTACGTAGCTTCCTGGGGACCACAGGATGGTTCAGCCGCTTTGTGCCAGCGTACGCCTCAGTCGTCCGACCGATGGCTCACCTCCTCAAGAAGGACGCACCGTTCCAGTGGTCCGAAGAACAGCAGGCCGCCTTCAACAAGGTGAAACAGCTGATCTCGACGAGCCCCGTCATGCGCCCGTTCGACCCGCACCTGCCGACGATCGTCACCTCCGACGCGAGTGACCGAGGCGCCGGTGCTGTCCTCACACAGGTTCAGCCCAGCGGTGAGGAGCGGCCGGTCGCCTACTGGTCCCGCTCGTTCACGGAAGCCGAGTCCAGGTACTCCGTGTCTGAAAAAGAAGCGCTCAGTGCAGTCAACGCAGTGGAACACTGGCGTATCTACCTGTGGGGACGCTTCTTCAAGCTCAAGACCGACCACTCGGCGCTCACTACCCTGCTGACGCCGAAGTCGTCCAACCGAGCCGGAGCTCGAATCGCCAGGTGGCAGGCTCGTCTCCTGCCCTACTCGTACTCTGTCGAGTACAAACCGGGACACACGATCCCTGTCGCCGACGCGCTGTCCCGGCTTCCGCTCCCAGACACGTCCGGCGCCGAGACTGACGGGGACGACATCATCGCGCTCGTCACAGACGACGCCACAGACGCGCTCCCAGAGTCGGAGATCCGAGCAGCGTCAGAAGCCGACCCAGCGCTGAGCGAGGTGCGGGAGGCCATCCGCACAGGCTGGCCGGCCTCGGCGCGCGAGTGCTCGCCGACGCTCCGACCGTTCTTCGACGTCCGTCATGAACTTCAGCTGCGCGATGACAACATCATCCTGCGAGGCCCCGACCGAGTGGTCGTCCCGCTCGCCCTGATCGACAAGTACCTCCAAGTGGCTCACCGGCCGCACGAAGGCATCGTGCGCACGAAACAGCTGCTCAGAAGTCTCGCGTGGTGGCCCGGCATGATGCGAGCCACTACCGACCTCATCCGCGACTGCTCGACCTGCCAGGCCAAGGACGCCGTCCTCTCTCAGGGCGCGCGCCCCGCTCCGCTGCAGCCGGTCCCGCTCCCGGACCGGGCCTGGTCCAAGCTCGGCATCGACGTCGTCGGACCCATCGCAGGTGCGCCGCCTTCAGCCCGCTACGCCATCACAGTCATCGACTACGCCAGCAAGTGGCCAGAAGTCGCCCTGACATCGTCTGTCGAAACCGATGACGTCATCAGTTTCCTCGGCAGCCTGTGGTCTCGAGAGGGCTACTGTGACGAGCTCGTCAGCGACAACGGCCCCCAGTTTACAAGTGCCAAGTTCGAGAAGTACCTGAGTGACCGCGGTATCCAGCATCGGAAGTCGTCTCTCTACTGGCCGCGGGGAAACGCGGCCGTCGAGCGGTTCAACCGAACCCTCAAGACGTGGCTGCTCGAAGCCGCTCAGCAGTCGCCGCGGACGCCACAGGCCTTCGCCGCGCACGTCACGCGCCGCCTGGCTCTGTACCGCACCGTACCGCACTGCACCACCGGGATCTCGCCCTCTGAAGGTCTGCATGGCCGCCGCATGCGCCTGGACCTGCCAGTGATGTCAGCCGACTCCGCTCCAGACGCCGGCCTGCACACGCGCGTGCAGACTCAGCAGCGCCGCAACGAGCGGAACTACAACCGGCGCCGCGGCGTGAAGGTACCCACCATCCAGCCCGGCGACAAGGTCCGCGTTCGCCGCCCTGGACACACGCCCAAGAACCTGTCACGGTTCGGACCGACACAGACGGTGGTCCGTCGTCTCGGCAAAGCCACGTTCCTGCTGTCTGACGGCACACGGTACAACGCGTCTCACCTGGCGCTCGCCCCGGCAGCCAGTTCGGCAGAGACATCTGACGGCGACTCGCCTGCAGCCGGACTCGACCCGCTACCGACCGTGGCGGACCAGCGCGAGACCGCACACGCGCCTCGTCCGGTCACTCCCCGGCGCGAGGGCCTGCCAGCGGTGCGAGGAGACCCTCCTGGCTCCCCGGCTCCAGATGGACGTCGATCGGCCACTCCAGCGCCGGTTGACTCGCCGCGCTCGCCGCGCCGTTCGGGTAACGAGCTGCCGCCGTCCTCGTTCGGCAGGCGTCGGTTCCAGCCCCGTAAGCTCGCCACCTAGGCCCTCGCCTAGCCCAGCTCAGACCCGCATGGCCCGGCGTAACATTTTGATATGACTCGTTATTCCGTACCGGGCGTGCTTTAACTTTATGTGTCGGGGTATGTAGTGTACGCGATCATAACGGTTTTGAATTAGTAGCACCGATCCTCCAGCCTTGTAACAATCGCGTCACCATTGTAACCCAGCGTGTCGACGACATGTTTTTAGTAAACAATAGACGGTCCTGCGGCTCTTCATCCGTTGTGTAGTTCTGAGATGCTCGCAATCGAACGAACACTATAGACCCCCGGTTGGATGGGGCCCGGGCCCCGGGAGTACGGACCCCAGGCCCCGGGTGGACGGGGCCCGGGCCCCCGGCTGGATGGGGCCCGGGCCCCCTGGTGGGCGGGCCCCGGAGCCCCGGGTGGACGAGGCCCGGAGCCCAGGTGAACGTGGCCCGGGCCCCCGTATGGATAGGGCTTGGTCCCCCATGTGGATAGGGCCCGAGCCCCCGGGTGAATGGGGCCCGCTAGGGTGACCCGCTTGCTTCGCAACGCGAATAAGGGGTATTTTCGATCGGTGGGCGTTTGGTTGGTCTTGTGTCTGTGGGTTATGTATCCATTACGGTCGATTGCCTTTTGACGGCTAAGCATTTTGGTTTTGGGAAAAAATATCCATCGCATCGAGGTGCTCGTGTCTGATAATAACCATGCGTTCTACTATAGAACATGCCAAGTGTATTTCATGACATAGGTTGGCGTAGGTTATTGAAGAGTGAAAGCCATCGATGAATTACTATGTAGAGGTTTGAAGCATTTATATTCTTAAGAATATTGTTGCTCGTCATGCAAAAGCGATGATTGGACCTTGGTCACAATTGAATGCTCTTCCAATCTATGCCCATTTCAATTGTCAAACATACCAGGTTATGTAGCAAAACCCCTGTAATTAAGTAAGTCATAAGCAAATGCTATTTTCTCCAGCAATTTGTTCCACCTTGTTTTTGATCAATTAGCTTTTCACAATTTTCCCATGAGAGGCGGTAGGTACGAGTACATTTCTCTTGCCAACAAGCGTTGTTTGAACCCGCTCCGTCTGACAGTCACCCAAAAATAGCATTAAGTCCAAAATCCGTCCAAAACGTCAATTTTTCAAGCATAAGTGCCCTCACGGGTGCACGTGGCGCGTGCCATCCCTGCACCGCACACCATTCGATAGCCCGTTCGATTCTCATGCACGATACTGTGTTCCTCGTGCCGATCGGACCCACGGTTACCGAGATACTGCACGGGGACCGGACCCGTGTCGGGCAAGTTGAGCCATTGTCGCCCATTTTTGCAAGCCGATTTATGCATGTAAAGTCTATGACGCGAATTTGCACTTTTTGAGCACGCGCCATGTGCTCACCACCGGCCCGATCGAGCTGTGACTCTTCACAGGCACGTTACCCATCCTTGTTCTATAAGTTGCGCGAATTTCAGCGCACTATGGAAGTTACGTCGCGATCAGCCGCTTTTTTACGCGAGTTCTTCGCGAAAAAAACCTTAGGGGGTTGCATCAACCCCTCCCCCCTGTGCCGGCGAGGGTTAAAACTTCTTACGAGCGAATTCACGTAATGAAGAAGAATAAAAGCACAATCTACTACAGCAGCCAATAGATGACTTAGGACAGGCACATGGGACTACTTTTAAATCTTTTGCGACAGAAGCAGGCAACAGTTCCGATTGCATATAATATGCTATGCATATTGCGGAATTGGGGCTCATATCGGATCGAAAGATACGAAGTCATACGTCATAGTAACATATTTCTGTCGTGGTCAATTTGCGTAAAAAGTGAAGACCGGGTGATTACCGAGCTACTGTTCTATGCAAATTTTCTGATTCAAACTCGCTCAGGGTTATCGTGCAGGTAAAGGGGCCCGCCCAGCAGAATGCGTATGAAATATGGAGAGATTCTGAAAATGGGTGGGGGCCCGCACACTAGGGGGCCCGCTTTGGAAGCGATGACCCCCCCGAAACGAAATCCTGGCTGCGCCACTGCTTGAGATCATGAGCTTAAGAATGTAGATATAAAACTATAGGAATTCACTGGCATGATTTGGTGCATTTCATTAAATTAAAAGCATCCACGGCTGACGGCCGGCTGCCCACAGTTTGACACGGCTGGGCGGCTGTGGCTGTGGAGCCTCGGCTGTGGGACGGCTAGGCTGTGGAAAATTGAAGCCGTGCAGAACTCTGGTTACAGTCGGTCAAAGGTCACAT